CGCACAGACACACACACACACACACGCGCACAGACACACACACACATGCGCACAGACACACACACACACGTAGATGCACAGACACACACACACGCGCACAGACACAACAACCGCCATTTGCCACTAAGTGGCGGTGACGTCACCACGACACTTGTGCCAGGCCACGTGCACCTTGAGGCCACGTGAAGTGTCGAACGCCCGCTGGCAGGAGGTCACGGGGCAGACCCAGCGGGTGCCACGGGTCAACTGACTGAGACGACCGGCTGATGCACCACCTCTGCCCCCTACTGTGGCAACCCGCTGTGCTTTAGCCACCCGGCGCTCTGCTCGTTGTTGTGAGCGTCGCTCCTCCGCCCTCCGTTGTTGTTGGAGGGCGACTGCCTCCAACTGCCCAGTAGCAGCGTCCTTCACGAGCCTCCTCCACAGAGGCCGATCTTGACACCGCTGGTACCGGTCATCGGCAAGTCCACTCAGCTCCACGTCCTGCTGTACCACGTCACTCCATCTCTCCTCTAGCCCGTGCCGCGCCCGTTTAGCCCCCTCGATCCGGCCAAACAAAAGCTGTTTAGGCATGCGGTGGCTGGGCATGTGGGCTACATGACCCAGCCATCGCAGCCTTGCCTGCCGGAGGAGCTCACCGACGGGACCTTGCCCAGATCTTTCAAGGATTTGTGAGCTCCTCACACAATCCAGCCTGGTTAAACCCAGGATGGATCGTAGGCAGGCTAGCCTAAATGTTTCTAACCGGCGAATATGTTCCATTAGGGGGGTCCACGTTTCGCAAGCGTAGAGAAGGGAGGGAATGACCGTGGCCAAGAGGACCTGAAGCTTAGTGTGGAGCAACAGACCAGGTAGCTTCCACACAGCGTTACGCAACCGATGAAAAGATATTGCCACTCGACTGATTCAGAGTGAGACCTCTGCTGTTAAACTGGAGCCGGTTATAAGCACACTGCCCAGGTATGGGAAACTCTCCACTCTCTCCACAACTGCCCCATCACCGATTGGGAGTTGTGGGGGTGGAGTGTCCGATGGTACAAAATACCCAGGCAGGTGCTTAGTTTTGGTGGGGCTGATGGTAAGGCCCCATCTCTTAGTAGCACGCTCCAGTCTCAGCAGCAGCTATTACCAAATCATCGGCATACATAACGTGGTTGAGCAATAGGGAGCCATCCCTTGACCGCACCCGGGCATCGATCAGCCTCCCATTATATCTGTACCAAATGGAGATTCCCCCGGTACAGCTATTGAAGGCTTCATGAACTACGTGGTCAAAATAGATGTTAAATAATGTGGGAGGACATCCCTGTCGCACCCCAAGGTGTACAGGGAATGGCTCCAACTCCTGGACACGTAGTTTTACCCGGGCCCGCTCACCATCATGAAGGTCTTTAATGATCATGAGCAGGGAGTCAGGGACTCCGAAAGCACGAAGAACAACCCAGAGCCCAGGCCTACTGATGGTATCATAGGCCTTGACCAGGTCAATAAAGCAGAGATGTAGGTCCTGCTGGAATTCCCTACACCTCTGCTGTAGCAGACGGACAGAAAATATGGCATCTGTGCAGGACCGCC